ACGGTGATAATCTTGTTTTCTTGTGCCCAATAATGCATACTTTCATTTGATAAACACGTTTAGATTGAATGGTAATTTATAATCAGTCACAAGAACGTCGAATCTGAATCACTTGAAAAAAACACGGGGGTGCTTAACTTTTTTCCAGGTGTATATGTTAAGGAATTGTCAAAAACATTAAGATTTACGTTTAGCAAAATACTTTTATTTTTTTAAGTTAAGCGTCTACATATTAAGAATTATTTGTTTTTCGTTGATACAGTCAGTAATTCGTTATAGAATTTTAATAAGTGGGAGAGATTTATCCAACTACACTAAAGCCAATCGTTTCATAACAGAATGTTATAATAAAAAATTATTATATCATATAATAATAAAAATGAAAGACCTTACAAAAGGTATATTGTATTAAGAATATTTTCCGTGAGTTATTTTTTTGTTTGTTTTAGAGTAGAGCCACACAATGGACTACGTGCGTTTTGTCTATCACGTGAAATAGAACCCTGGATTTTTGTGATGTAAGTCGTAAAACCACTGCTGACCCACCGAGGGACGCAATCTATTTATTAATTGTTTGTTTGTTTTTGAATATTTCGCGCAAAGCTACACGAGGGCTATCTGCGCTAGCCGTCCCCAATTTAGCAGTGTAAGACTAGAGGGAAGGCAGCTAGTCATCACCACCCACCGCCAACTCTTGGGCTACTCTTTTACCAACGAATAGTAGGACTGACCGTCACATTATAACGCCCCCACGGCTTAAAGAGCGAGCATGTTTGGCGGGACGGGGATTCGAACCCGCGACCCTCAGATTGCGAGTCGAGTGCCCTAACCACCTGGCCATGCTGGGCCCATTAAGTCAGACATCATGTTTGTGAATGTTATGTAACATTACTAGTTATCATTATTAAGTCAGACAGCTTATTTGTGGATATTATGTAACATTACTAGTTATCAGTATTAAGTCAGACACCATATTTGTGAATATTATGTAACATTATTACTTATCAGTATTAAGTCAGACATATTTGTGAATATGATGTAACATTATTACTTATCAGTATTAAGTCAGACATATTTGTGAATATGATGTAACATTACTACTTATCAGTATAATAAGTCTGTTTCGATCGTGCTACGCTCGCATTTCACTTTCTTTTCTTATGTCCATCAACTTTATTTAGATTATACTTATTTCTATCAGAAATGAACTCATACCAATGTAAGCATAACAAATTGTTGTTTATTACTGATAATAAATGACACATATATTTAGAAATAAGTCTTGTTTCTTATGGACAACATTACTTTTTTCCCTGGTCTCTCTCGGTTTTATTCGTTCTCTCTCACATCTTCCGCTCTCTTCTCTTTCATTTTTCGCTGAGCTCCTATTTTTTATATTCCTTCCTTAAGCCCACGTCGAACCATCCCGATTTTCTGACCTTACACTATCTCCTGTATATCGGATTATAACGTTTCATAATCTAGGAGGTCTTGCAGTCTCCATACCGGCTTGACTTAGAAAGGCGGCTGCTATATCAGCTCACTCCTATCATTTTGTAATGACACAGAGTCCTGTAATCCCATTATGTTACCTTACATCTAACTGTATAGCACATTACATCCTTCTTTTTCTGAATACATTCAACAATATTTATTGGATTCAATCTCGGCTGGGTTTCTTTCTAGCCTTGATGTTATTCGGGACTCCGGCGTATTATCACATCTTCTTTAGCTCGTTTAACCACTCACAATTTCCGATCAAAGATAGAAAATCATCTATTGTGATTCCTATCTCAGTTAAGACTTCATGTATTTCACCATTTCTTCCAATTGCTACTACAGTTTATACCCAATTTCTTACATTTATTTACGAACTGACTTTTTGTCAGTGATTTCCAGTTCTCATCCGTGATAGTGG